CACGGATTTTTAAACACATTTTACTCAACTTGAAAATATCAAGTTAAAACCATGGACTACTATCCACGGATTTTTTAAGCACATTTTACTCAATTTGAAAATATCAAGTTAAAACCATGGACTACTATCCACGGATTTTTTTTTATTCCTATATAAATTACAACCTGTCTCCAAGAGACATTCAGTAATTAGAAAATCATTCAGTAGTAAAAATGGATGCTTAAATGATTACCCAGTATAGTAAACCTTTTAGTTATGATATGTAACAATTATGGCAAAACATTTATGAGTGTAGATACTAAAACCTATTGTAAGTTTAAACATGCATAAATAATATATGACTATAAATACATATAAAAATAATTCCTACATAAACTAACTCTACTTATTCTGCTAGTTCGAGTAATGATTGTCTTTTTAATATGTGATGATATATGTAGTATTGTACAGTTCGTTTGCTAAGACAGACATTGGGGTGACTGCTTATTTTTGTTTTATAGTTTTGTGCTATTATGTTTATCTCTTCATTTACCGTGTTGACGTTTGCGTCTTGGTGTATTAGCCATGTACGTACTTCGGTGCTGAGAGAGCCTCACATGGGATTTTATTTTCAAAATCTTTGAATGATTTGGATGTTGCTTCTTTTAGCGGTACCCCATAGTTGGAGGCCATATGTCCAAACTGGCTTAAAGATAACTTTGTAGATGAGAATTTTGTTTGAAGTGAAGAGTTCAGATCGTCTTCGTAGCAGCCAGGAGAGAGTTATTCTGAGGTGTTCTAACTGTTCTCGCTTTTTAAGGATGTGAGTTTTCTAGTTAAGTTTATTGTCCAAAAACATACCCAGGTATTTAGCAAAGTTTTGTTTTGGAATTTCGTTACTGTATATGTAAACAGGTGGACATGTACTCCTTCGCTGTGTAAAAGTAACTTGCACAGATTTGTTACTGTTGACTACAAACCCACAGAATTTTAAACATATTTTACTCAACGGATTTTTTAAACAATTGAAACGATTTCAATTGAAAATGTCAAGTTAAAAGCTTGATAAAAACTGTGTTTCAACAAATATCTCATTTTTCTTGACTTGAATATTTTTGATCCTTATTATCTTGCAATATTTTAATTGCTTTATTTATTTAAAAAAAATACGTTATGAAACTTTTGATCTTCAGAGACTAAACCCTCTGCCAATTACACCATATCTATTACAGAATGACCTTTACCTTATTATACCTTATTAGATCGTTTAATCTGAAAAATAATATATATTGAATAAAACAATCTGTCTATCTTCCTTTAACTGTATATTCTCAGTATGTACAAGATGTACAATCAACAGAAGTATAACATGGTTTACAATAGAAATAAAAACAATTTATATTCTTTGGGCTATGACTAAATACATTTATTATTATACAGAGGCGAAGCAAATTTTTCATATATTTAAATAGCACTATATATTATTTATTTCATATATTATTTTAATCACTAAATCAATAAAATCACTCTATAATCTATATTTATATATAATATTTCTTAAAATTACTGATTCCAGTAAGTTTATTGCTTTTTATTATACAGTATATATTAAGTATAATTTATCATTATATGCTTAAATTTCAATATATTGTATAATTTTAACTCATTTATGTATATTAATTATTTCACATAAAACGTAGTTATTTTTAAAAAGGCTTGCTAAGTTCTAAATACTCAGAATTGAAGATTTTTCATTAATATTTTATATCCACTTTTTTAAATATTTGGAAGACGATATGAAAAAAGATATATATCTTTTCGGAAATATTTTCCGTCGACAATGCAGCACATATATACAGAAATCGTTTTGGCACGTTTTTTTACTTAAATATACATGTGTATTTAGAAAGGAATATAAACGGATCATCAATATATATCAATCAAACATAATATTTTATAAAAAGAAAAAACAATACAATTGGTGTTATCTATATACAGTACATTATATAAATTGTCGTAAAATTTACATATTAACAAGAAGAAATTAATCGATTATACTTTATTACAGGAAGCATTTATTATAATTCTTTATGATCTAAACAGCAAAAATGACTCATAACAAGGTACAGCAATAATTAAAATAAAAATCGTTGTATAAATATAAATATTCATAACTGTGAGGTATTTCAATCATCTTAATAAATTAATAACAAATTATTTATTCCTAATGAAAAATCAAGAAGCCATTCAAATATATTAATAAAATCAAATAAGGTGGCATTAAACATATTTTTTACATATACAGTCTATAATATTTTTTATAACAAACACATAAAAATAAAATAATTATATAGTTATAAAGCTTGATAATTTGAACTCTGCATTGTTTTTTTTTAACATATTACAAATTCAGGGCATAGCATTTACGAAAAGTAAACTCTCGCTAGAATCTTAATTTCGCAAAGGTTATTATAGTTTTTATATTAAATATCATCAATGATAAAAGTATCATTTTTAAAAGTTTGGAAATATACCAAATGCGAATATGCAGAGTTTAATATAGGAAGAGCATATCATCTCATTGATTTGAAAACACAAATATCGAGAAATTAAGTAACTTAAGTAACTCTAAGTCTAACAATTTAATTATGTAAGTTTTAATAAAATCAATTTTTAAATATAATTATTCGCTGTATCGATAAAACGAGTCAACTTAACATAACGATAGAGTATTATTTACAATAACATCAGGATAACTGGCTATTTAATAAATGTCACAACACTCTGTAGAAAGGACAAATAAAAAATATTTACGACCTGCGCCAAACATATAAAAAGTATCATAAATTTCGAATTGGTTTTGTTCTAAATTTTTCAAATTTTATCTATACATGTATATCACAGTCCGATTGCAGATACGATACACATATAAAGGGACAATTATCAATTCCGTATTGAAAAAGATATCAAACATATAATATGCGCTCAATATCTTCGGTAACTATTTTGTGTATAGATAAATACATTACGATTTATTATCTTTGCTAATTATTTCATTCAAATAATCGAAGCTAAGAATCCAAAACAAAATGTATGTCAAAAATTATTTCCGAAAATTAGATTAGATGTTCTAATATACTTCAATAAGATATGTACAATATTATTACCTATTTATTAAAAATATATCAGAGGTATTGCTCAATAAAATGTATAAGCTTTTTTTCTTATATCTTAAGCGATTGAAACTCTTTTGTCAAAAGCGATACTTTGTTCAAATATAGATAATCTTGAAACTTGATACATACAGTCAATATTATATATTTGGTTTTAAAACTTTATCTAAGGCCGAGAGGAATAGAAATTTAGATAGCATAACATTTTTCACATTACAATTTTTTGGAGATTAAACACAACGATTTCAAAAATACTATTTAGATAAAATTCATAATTATAGTAACAGGTTGCAATAAATTCGTAAGTCTAAAATTAACTAACATATTGCACACCCAAGGCATGCATGCAAGACATCTCTTTATTTGATGTATATTTTAATCAATCAAAATCAAACTTTTAGTTAAAAGTCGCCAGATGTGGAACGGATACTTGCTCTTTAGATAAATGAAACAAATGTTATTATATGAAGAAAATGTCCTAAGATAGTACCATTGTTTAAATATCTCAAATAAAATTTCAAGTCATTTAAATATTTCACAAGTTTGATAATATTAAAGTGCTAATAATAATTCAAAGTCAAATTGCTATCACAAGTGAAATTCTACATTTGGCTACTTATATATGAATAAAATACCATTTGACATTACTAGTTTAATCGAGAAGTATTGCTGAGCATTTTGGGATAGCAAAAGTCAAAATCAATTAAAAGAAAATTCATCATGCTAATGCAACAATATTCCAAATAGTATACTGGTATTTCATTTTTTTAATGATTACTGAATATTCCTTTGTTTCGATTTTGGAGCATCTCCATAAATTGCCGCTCTTATATTTTAAATATTTCTTACTAAATCTATATAAATAAATAAGCAATTTGAAAGTAAAAATTATGCTGATTTAATCAGTCTGTGATTTGAAAAAAGTACATGCTAAGATTATATTCATTTTTATAAATAACTAGAATTTGAATTAAAAAAGTGATTTTTTCATAATTCATAAATCAACCAATTATCTAATCCTCATATTATAATTGATTATCTCCTAACAATATCTTATTAAAATTAGTATTAGGTATATTAAATTTTACCTCATAATTAAATAACAGATTGGTTCAAAATAACAAATATGGTTCAATAAATATTTTCTCTATGCAACAATTGTTATAAAACATAAAAATACCATGTAAATGGTTATTGAAAAACGTTAGTCATATAAAATATATTTACCTATCCTATCCATAAAACAATTTAATTTTTAAATATCATAATTTTCTAAACAAATAAAACAACATATTGACTAAATTTTGCTAACATATTAAAAACAATAATCAATATATTGCTGATAGAACTTCCAATCACATTAGCAATTTAGTTTCATATAATATTTCAAAAATATATTAATAAATTGAACATTGACTATATTTGTGCAATATCCATGAAATGATTTATTAAAGTTTTATCACAAAAATGTGGTTGGAACTCTACTAGCAGCCCAAGAACAATAAATCTAACATTAATTCTCTAAACATATAAATATAAATCAAAATTAAAATAACAATATATTTACTACCAAAATTCACTACATCAGGGTGCAGAAGAATATTAAGATGATTATTTTTATAAAATAAAACATAAACCTCAAGAGTACTAGGATGATAACAAACATTAGACTAAAATAATTCTACAATAAATTTTATTATGTTGTAACGAAAATATATGAAATATAAAAATAAAAATCAAATTGCAATTTTAAGGAATGACTTTTTCTCAACATATAAAATATTCTCTGCTTTAAATTTTTTATTTATAAAAATAAAACATCATTGTAATACCGACTGCACAGCACGAAAACCTTGTTTCAAATCCCTGAATGAAGAAGAAAAATAAAAATATTTTCTTACCTGACAGCTGATTGAATGTTCTCTTCAATATTTCTCGACTTTGATTCTTTTGGCTTCATAAAATTTATTACTTAAATTTTTTGATGAGTTATAATATTTACCATCACCCGAATCAGCGGCCGAAATTCGCCTTTTAGGTCTTCTTAGAAGTCTGGGTTTGAATTTAGTGCGAGTGCTGTTACTATTTCTGGACTCCCTGGATTCTTGATATTGTGGTTTATTATATTTTGACTCGTGGTTTTGAGCATTCTGCTGATATTCCTGGCCATTATTGTTTTGGTGTACGTAGTTCGTCGTATAGCTGATGACTGATAGAGCATTTTCTGGAGTGGAAAGCCTCCTGATACCAGCCAGATTTAACAGTGCGTCTGCCCCTTCTGCCAAGCGCCGTTGTTCTTCCAAATCGGTGAAAGAGGTCGGTTGAGATTGACTGTTGAAAATATTAACAGTATTAGAAATGTATTTAAATAAAAAGTGGAGTTATATTCATTCATTATTATAATTATTTTACCAAGTAAAATCAATGAGTACATTGAATAAAATGCTTCTCTTAAATATAAATTAAATTATTAAATCACGTTTTATAAGAAAATTACTCATCACTTGTATTTCATTTGCATAAATCTACATGATAGTTGTACATCAAAACAAGATTAATTGAATGATTAAAGAAGAGAAATCTATACAGAGTAAGATATTAGCTACTTCAAAGACTACAATACAAACTATCCACTGCACAAACAATTGCACATTGTAGGATAAAAGATATACAGACACAGACACATTTAGTTAACTATCATGAGAAAATAATTTATCTAAGGAAGACCAAAATCGATTTTTTATTAACATATCTTAACATATTTAAATCGGGTTTTGGAAAATGGACGAGTTCATTTGCTGAACTTTCCGAGTATTTGAAATTGGGCTGATAGTAGATATTAATTAGATTTATATCGATATTTTGTGGTCAATAAGCAAACCAAATGTGATTAATTTGTTACAAATTAAATTACAAAAAAAAATTAAAAATTTTAGTGTGTTGTATATTTGGTTATTAAAGAATTGAAGATTTTTGAATATTAAAGTCTGAAGCCTTCAGACTTCAGATATATGCAATATGGTGAAACAATTAACCGTTTCAAGATCATTACAAATTAAATTACATAAAAAATTAAAAATTTTAGTGTGTTGTATATTTGGTTTTTGAAGAATTGAAGATTTTTGAATATCAAAGTCTTGAGGATATATGCAATACGTGAAACAAATAACCGTTTGAAGATCATTTATGAATTATCAGTTATCTTTATTCGATTATGTTCCTCTTAGAAGTTTTTATTAATAATTGCAGGTAGAATGTTCAGTGAGAAATAATTTTAACTTTAAAAAGTTGTGTATTCGTAATTATGAAATTTGATCTCCAATGATGAACCTCCACAGACATATCAATTCGCAAATGTATTAAAATATAAAAGCTATTTTAATTTTATAAATTAATGTGATGTGGGTATCTTATGTAAGCCACGATACGTTATGTTTTTTTTTGCATATATTCTATCTTGAGTTCAGCTCGATATCAAGATAACAACCCGTATACACTTATAATAGAAAAAATAGATCTTATTTATGTTTTTAAGTGAATATAGCCCTTCTTGAGCATTAACCAATATTAGAATAATTTCAAAAATGAAATATCAAATATAAATGGGTTAACCACTCCATTAAATTCGACGTAAAAGGAAAAGATTGATCGTTACTGGTCGTACTTAAGTAAGTAAGAAATGATCTTTTAAGCAGCAATCCTTGACCAGTAACGATCAATCTTTTCCTTTTACGTCGAATTTAATGGAGTGGTTAACCCATTTATATTCGATATTTCATTTTTGAAATTATTCTAATATTGGTTAGTGCCAATGAAGGGCTATATTCACTTAAAAACATAAATAAGATCTATTTTTTTCAGTATAAGTGTATACTGACAACGGGTTGTTGTCTCGATATCGGATGGAACTTAAGATGAAAAATATGCTCAAAAAAAACATAAGTAACGTGGCATACGTAAGATACCCACATCACATTAATTTATAAAATTAAAATACCTTTTATATTTTATTACATTTGCGAAATGATATGTTTGTGAGGTTTATTATTGCAGATCAAATTTCATAATTACGGAATCACTACTTTTAAAATTAAAATTATTTCTTACTAAACATTGTTAAAAAACATTAAAAAAATATTATTTTTTTAAACAAAATAAAATTTGTAGAGCTATATAAGGAGTTAACTAATTTAGGTATATATATTGGCTTATAGATTAAACATAAAGTATCTAATGGTAATATTTACATATGCTGATTATACCAGGACAAAGGAAAGTGTGAAGAAGCATGAGTATTGTTAATAGTTAGGGTCGACACATGTAATTACGTTGCCGAGACGTTTTTATATGTATCGACCCTATCAATGTTAGCAATTCTAAAAATACAACAGTTACAGACCTGTCATCAGTTTCGTAAGCGGCATCGGGTGAGTTTAGGGCGGCTGTGTGTTGTTTTTGTGGCGTCGATGCCAGGCCAACGCTACTGTACGTGTGATCCTCCGACGGGCTACTCGTTATTATAGGAACAGCCCTGCACATCAATACGAAAACAGAACTTTACCCAATTCATTTAATTTATCGTCAACAGTCAAAGCAAAACAAAGTGAATTATGATCTTTCATAGTAATATATCAACCAATTTGAAATTTATATTGATATTTTAATGTCACCCCTAATTCGACGTAGGAAGAGTGTTGTAGAACTTTTCAGGTTCATTTTCTTTACAAACCGTACACCATCTAGACCTTGACATTTAGAATTGTCTTTTTTTTACAGATATTATACATAAAATCATTTCAACACGTTGTTCAGGATTTTGCTGAAAAAAATTTTTTTACGTAAATATTTACGATTGAAATATGGATTTTAGTCTCAATTTCTATGAACATCCTCTGCGGTGAATTATTTCCAATTGTGCTGATCGGATCAGTATTATTATTTTTTATTACACTCATATTGAAGTGAACTTTTTAATGACTTAAATTTTTTTTTTGCAATTTTCTTAACAATAACAACCCTTAAATATTTACAAAGGTTTTACATACCCTTTACCCAAATTGAATTGATTGAAAAAAAATAATATTTTTTCTTTTTTCTCTGCAATAAAAATCTTTTCACTATTTGTCGGATACTCTGTTACAACGAAAGATTGTAAATACTTACTGCAGAGGATGTTCATAAAAATTGAGCAAAAAATCCATATTTCAATTGTAAATATTTAGGTAAAAAAAATTTTTTTAGCAAAATTCTGAAATATGTGTCAAATGATTTATGTATAATATCAAAAAAAAAAAAAATCGACAAAATTGTGACATTTTATTTTTTCGAAAATCCCCACGATTTGAAAAAAATGACCCATATGTGTAAATATATATAGATGTAATAGGATCGTTAATGTTTTCTTTACTTTTACCGGCAAATATTAAAAGAATTAAAAATAATTGCCAATCAAATCGTTTTTTTTTAAGTTTTGAAAGCAACTGCTTAATTTACGTATATTATAACCCCTATCTAAAAGCACATCATATATATTATATAATTTTCTAGCAATAGCTGAATTGCTTGTAATTTGAATAAAGCATCTCACAAAAGTAGAATAAAAAAAAAAATGAATATATTATAATATATACTGTATATTACTTCAACTTTTTCATCATTCATACTTCAACTAGTTTTCCCTTGGGGCATCATATTAGACTTTATTTGCAAAAAAAAGTGAGAAGCTCTTTGCACATATTAAAGTACCCAAATAATTTTATCCTAAATCATTTCATTCATCATTTATTTCACCAAATGATTATTTATAAAAATGATTATATATTATTAAATATTTGTATTTGTATTTTTTATGTTGATTTGTATACTTTTGACTCAAAGATGTCATATATATTTGCAAAGTATGTAACATTCATCTTTTGCAAGCTCACTTTGAAGGCAAAACATGAACAGGTCTGTTAGAAGTAGTTCATTTGCATCCATCCACTAGAGCAATTGAACATTTTACAAATAGGGAAATTGCACAAGAAGTTAGAATTTATGATTTACATTATTATTGTTAAAAGTATATACACAAAAGCAGTGACCTATTACCAACAAGCATCAATATGTACATCACAACTACACAAATAAACTCTTTGGGACAACAATTTCATCACACGGAGATATATTTATAATACCTTTTGTTATATTGTTAATGATTCAACATGATTATCAAAGATGACATCTTGTATTCTCAGCCAAATTTTAAAAACAATTACAAACCGAATCAGTATTGTAAGTTAAGTTACCATATTTAATAATCATGGTCTTTATGATTAGTGAGTATACTACTGGTATTTTATATCGTTGTGGCATAAAATCGAGTATCCCAAGAAACTAATAAATATATATATATATATATATATATATTATATATATATATATTAGGGTGGTCCTTAAAATGGTGATTTTCGAATTTCCTTGCTCCAGGGGCTCAGATGGTTCCAAATAGATAAAAACAATCTCTGAGAGTTTTAGCTCTTAATATTAACGTTTAGATAGAGCGCAATTCAATCAAAGTTTTGTATGGAAATAGCATGGAAAAAATTTCAAAAATTTTAAATATGTTTTTTAGATGTAATTTAGCAAACAAATGAATGAATAAAACTCATTCATTTGTCGCTAAGTTATACCTAACACATTTTTTTAAAATTTTCAAAAATTTGTCCATGCTATTTCCATAAACTTTGATTAAATTGCGCTCTATCTAAACGTTAATGTTAAGAACTAAAACTTTCAGAAAATTGTTTTTTATCTATTTGGAACTATTTGAGTCCCTGGGAGCAAGGAAATTCAAAAATGACCATTTTAAGGACCACCCTAATATATATATATATATATATATATATATATATATTATATATATGCAATCACATTTAATTTGAATCATATATAATACAGTAGATATATATAACAACATAAACAAATGTTGATTCAATTGGATCACTCTAATCAAGTAAAATTCAGATAAAGAGAATAAATATAGAATAACAATAAAACATCTTCAACGAAGACTGATAAATTGTGGAAAATAATTACCCAGGTAATCCAAGTCGACCATGTTTAAGTGCAACCATGACCGCGGCAGCGTTTGCTTCTTCAAATTCTTCAGAAGTCCACATTTCTCGCTTGTCATGATTATACTCGGTGTGCTGTCTTTGTGATTGGCTAGAATTATTATAATGTGTACTGTTGTTCGGTTGATTGTCTTCATTGGGCTGATCAGCGGCCGCCAAACGCCGCGAGAGGTATGGGAAAAGATCGGGATTTGGCATGTGCGACAAACTCTGTAATAAGAATTAAATTTTAATGGAAATAAGCCGATGAATAATTATTATTTAGTATTAACAAATGACATTGTTATGTGAAAAGTGCAAAGTGTACAAAAGTGTATATGATTTTACTTCATGTCCTAATGCATAAAATAGTATAATATCTAGTTTGTATGATTTATCGTAAG